CAATATATTTGAACTTTTTGATGGTTTTGCATTTTAAATTGTCCAATATAGACAGTCGTTTTAGCCATATTAGTACGGACAACAGACATTCACAACAACAATCCCGCTATGAAAATGTGGTTCAAACAGTAACTGACGCAACCTTGTTATATACTTCTACCAAGTGAAATACACGACTTCTCGGATTAGACATCATTAAAATGTACACGTGTTGCCGTCAAGTCCTGAACGAGTTATCAAAACATCCGGTTACCTTCCCACCAAAACGGAACATTTTATAAAACATTCTCCAGGACGGTGGATATCAGTAACCCTGGTTCCCTTTATCTCATTTAAAGTACTACAGCCCTAGTGTATACAGGGCACTGGTAGTCTACCTTGTCGATGTGAAACAAAATACACATAGATGTATGTGTGTGAGGCCTATACATGGCCTATAGTATGAATGTTTCACAGTGAGCACGATCACTTTAAACTCTCTTGGTATAAAAGGTTACGTGGGTAACAAGAAGAATCATTGACACGGAAGTGAAACATAAAAAGCAGATGAACAACCCTCAGTATTTCGTCACAAACACGTTTCACTCCCCATGAGTCAAGGTCATTACTATCCTTTTCTGGTAGGTTACGATGTTGTCCCTCCTTGAAGATGATGCGACGACGACGTTTGTTAGTCTGATCGGCGCCTCCGTGCTGAAGTATGGCTTCACCTCGTGGCTAGCTTTAAATCGACCAAAGGTATACGAGAAGGTCGGAAGAGTGTCAAGTCTGCAACTTTACCCGGTGAAATCATGCCGGGGTCTGGACGTCAAAACAGCCGAATGTACATTAACAGGATTGCGTCAGTATGGCGTCACGGACAGGTTTGTATAGCCAGCACCCCTCTCCCTTCACACTCCCCATCGTCCCCACTGTCCCCACTCTAACCCCGCCCCGTCGGGGATGAGTCACACCTGTGTGGCTGAACACTTCGTTAACCTGAATCGTGTCCTGGTATCGTACTAGTACTGGTATATGTTGTTACACATTTTAACACGCATGACCTATATAGATTGTCTGTTGCTATATGACGGGTAGTGTACAGATTGGTTAGTTTGAATTTTAACTGGAGACGTTTATAATACTCTATGGCTTTATGCGTGTCTCGTTTAATGTCTCACATTATTTAAGATTAGTAATGTTCACAGATCAACTACTGAATATCGCAGTGTCAACAAAACTGTGATTCTAATTCAAAATCGATAAAACTGGGACAAGATATGAACAAAGGAAAGATGAGACTCATAAAATACATGATTTTCGGTTATTCCTGTAAACTGTTGTGCTTTTTTTTTTAGTAATAATCAATCAAAAGTTGATGCAATGATTTTACATGGGTAACGTTTGTAAAAATGCCAGGTAGTAAGTACATCCTGCTGTCCACTGCGCCGTTTTCGGTGGCCTACGTGATGTAAGAAGTTGTTTGTACATAGCTTAATATATTATTTCGGTTATCGTGTCTTAGGTAACCAATGGTTGTAACCCAGTATCCGATTGACTCAAAATCTTTCGTTTCTAAACTTGATGTTTTCAATGCCCATGTCAACAGTTCACCTGAGACGGAGGACAGGTTTCATCAAAATGACTGACCTCTTGTGTTCACCATGACAAAAGTCTTAACAAACATTTTAGTATTTATGTGTATTACATTTTTCGCGCTTCGAGTGACAGCATCAAAATGTTGCGCAACCTTGTTGTCCAACGTGACGTCATTTACGTAATTTAATTGCAGTTACATTTTCGTTTTCATACTTTAAAAAAAATTAAAAAAAATGAGAAAACTTCCATTCAATACGGTTTATATTTCACAAATATTTCAATATATTAAATGCAAAAACATCTGAATACCATGCCTTAACAATGATTTATCTTTCCCCACCCCCCAGGCATTGGATTCTAAGTTCCAGAGAAAACACTTGGATCAATGCTAACAAGGAGCCGAAGCTTTTACTTGTGACCGTGAAGTTGCACGATGATAAGGTGGAGATGACCGCCCCAGGGATGGAACCGCTCATGGTACCCATCACTCCCAAACTCGACCAAGCAATGGTCCGCCATATTGGGTATGACTCGCTGACGTATTACTGAACCAATCATTTCTGATCCAAAACTTTGACCTCGCCATTCCAAAAATGACGCTCGCACCGCGAAAACATTCTGAAAACGAGGTCTTTGATAAACAAATGCTTTAAGACTCAGAATTAAAATAAGATGCACAAAGCAGAGTATAAGTGTACTTTGACATTTAAGCACGATCTCTATTAAAGTGTTTTGTGATCTTAATGAATATTTCGTTAAAGGACTGGCCCGCTAGCCATAGACACGTTGGATTGCGGTGACGAGGCTGCGGCCTGGTTTGCCAAACATACGGGGCGGCAGGGGGTCCGACTTAACTACTCTCATCCTGAACTGGCAAAACGGGAATCGATCAGTTTCAAGTACCCATGGGAACACTATGCGCTGCCCGGAGACCAGGTAAGGTAGAAGATTAGAGGAATGGTCGGGGTTGAAACAGGTCAAGGGCTGTATGCTATTAGGTATCATCACCAAGAGGCCGGCCAGGTATCTCCTATGCTACTTCAGGTTAAAAAGTGAAGATGAGATAACGTTGGTTACACAGTATCACAAATACCAGCGATAAGCGTCACCGTTTGTGATACTACAGGTTACATAGTGTCACCTTTT